AGGACTCACCACTGCCTCGGCAGCCAGGTGACCAGCTGGTCTGCCAGAGAGTCACATTCACCCATACGTGCCCCATGTAATTATTATTAATCATGTCTCCTTTCATTTGGGAAGGGTGTTGGCTCAGACGATGATTTATTTAGTCACTCTCAGATTTCAGCCTTTTTTAATATGTCCCCAGTGAACCTGAGGTAGGTGGCCAGCATCCAGCCCCTGCTCTTTGGACTTCTTCCTAGGGAAGGGTTTGGCCATGGTTGATGGTCCTGGGCCCCATCCCCTCCCCCTCTGCAGCCCTTCAGCCAGGACACTGACCCCTTCACCCAAAGACATTGTCCTTCCAGTCCTTGGGGTGATCCAAAGATAGAGTCCCCAGCACCTTAGGTGTTCAGCAGAAGCCCTGAGAAGTTCCTTCTCCCAAACCAGATGCCACAAGCAGCAGATGATCCTGTGCATCAGGCCCCAGTGCTCCCTCCAGAGCCATGGCCCTGCCCTTTAAGTGCTCAGTGGCACCTGACTGTCCCTCCACTGTGGCCCTAGGTCCTCCTTCAGTGGATCCCTGAAACACCCCCCAGTCAGACCCAACTTAAAGAACAATACCAAGCCCGGGTGCAGATGTGGTCTCATGGCGGGAGCCCTAGGTACACACAGGCTGAGTTGGGGTTTGGGTCTGTGTGACATGTTTGGCTCCAGTGAGGACACAGTTTGACTCTGCTATGAATATTGGAAGGGTCAAGACTTAAAGGGCTGAAGTTTTTATGATCCTACTGTGTATCTAGGAGGCGAGCAAAGGTTGGAGTAGAAAAGTAGGGTTAGTGGTGTGCAGAGGAACTCAGAGGCTGCTGCTGAGACCTTGAGCTCAGCACCCCCAGCTTCCCACCTCCTCCAGAGCCATTCCCCAGCAGTTGTGCTGGGACATGGGTGCCCAGACTGCCTGTCACAGTCACAGTCCCTTTTGGGTCCTGCTGGGACTCTTGATGATGCCTGTAACACCTGATCATTCTGTTCCACCCACTCTGTGGCTCCCGAGTCTCCACTCCCAGACCTGATCCCTCTTCTGAAATATATGCCAGTGGCTTTACGTATAGGTTTTATTGGCTACTTCCCTTTCTTTTCCCTTTTAAATATAAAAGGTGTAGAGCCAGGCATGGTGGTACACACCTATCAAAGCTGAGGCAGGAAGATTGCTTCAAGTTCGAGGCCAGCCTGGGTTACACAGTGAGTTCAAGGCCAATCTAAACTACAGCATGAGACTGTCTCAAAAAATTAATTAATTAATTAATTAATTAAAATAAAAGATATACTTCACCTGTATTCATCCATTGTTGTGTATGGTCCTGAGTTTTGACATGATGCGTATATGTGACCATCATTGAAACCAAGAGGTGACACATTCCATCCACCCCCAAATCCCTTCACGCTCCTGCAATGCACCATTCCGTCCTTATCCTGTGTGTCCCCCACACCTCTGGCTTGGCCTTTTCCAGAACATCCTGTTGAGGTCATCAAGGGTTCTCCAAGCAGGAAGCCTGTTTGGTTTGGCCTTTTGCACTCAGTGCAGTACCTTAGAGGGCCTCCATGTGATACCCACCCCTGTTGCTGAGCAGGATTCCTTTGTGGGGATGGGCAAAGCTTGACTGCCCATGAAAAAGTTAAGGATGTGCCAATGTGAAATTCCCAGGCTTGACAGACTGACTGTACTGAGCTGAGGACACTAGAGCAGCTGTACCTGCAGAGGGCCATCCTGCCATGGAGACTCTTCCATCTTTATGGAGGAAGGGTGCCCTCCCCAAGCCACAGTGAGAGAAGTCTTTAGTGTCAGAGATGGGGAATCAGGCTGTGGTGGGCCTGAGTGATAAACCTCCTCCTCCACTAGCTGCCCTGGAATTTACCCCCCACCCCTCAGAACCCCTGTGTCCTGTTGGGTCTGCACACATTCATCATTCTTTGTCTAAAAGGGATGACTGCATCTTCCTCTGGCCATTTCATTGTCTCTTCACCCTCTTAACAGAGCCTCATTTTCAGGGGCTGGAATGTGGCTTGGTGGTAAAGCATTTGTCCCATTTGCATGCGAGGCCCTGGGAGCCATCCCCAGCACCACAAAAAAATAAATAAATAAAATTTAAAGGCCAGATGTCTCAACAGACTAAAGTGCCTGCTTATGCAGGCACAGGAACTGGGGTTCAATCCCTGGCATGCTGTGCTGGCCCCACTCCCAGGCTGCGCTGAGATGGCAACTGAGACTGGGTGTGGTGGCGTATGCCTATAATCCCAGCGCTCAGGAGGCTGAAAACAGGAGGATCACTGTGAGTCTGATCTGTATAGTGAAACCCTATAGACCCTGTACTAAATTCATAAATTCAAAAAAATTAAAACTTGGATGCTTTTCTCTTATTAATCTGTCCTGTATTCATTTGGTTCCCAGACCCAGCCAGCAAACCCATTTTGGTTTTCTCTTTCAGTACTGAGGATTGAGCCTGAGCCTCATGCATGCAAGGTGACTGCTCCACCACTAAGCTACACCCCAACCCAACAACCTCACCTTAGAGTGTCAACAGGTACAGGCCATGATTAGTGTCTGTTATATCCATTCCTCAGCCAAGGGACACTGGGCTTGCTTCCTGGTTTGGGTGAGTACAGATCAATCTCCTATAAACAATCACTTCCAAGTTTTTGTGTGAACATAAGTTGATACTTCTCTTCAGGTACACCTAGCTGTAGAATGGTTGTGGAAGTATATGTTTGACTTTATAAAGTAACTGCTGGCCAGAGGTGTAGCTCAGTAGTAGCACATATGGTTAGCATGTGCAAAGCCCTGGGTTCATTCCCAAACACAGAGAGAGGGACAGAGGGAGAGAGAGAGAGAAAGAGAGAGGGACAGGGACAGGGACAGGGACAGGGACAGGGATAGGGAGAAAGAAAGAAAAGAAAGAAAGAAAGAAAGAAAGAAGAAAGAAAGAAAGAAAGAAGGAAAGAAGGAAAGAAGGAAAGAAGGAAAGAAGGAAAGAAAGAAAGAAAGAAAGAAAGAAGAAAGAAAGAAAGAAGAAAGAAAGAAAGAAGAAAGAAAGAAAGAAAGAAAGAAAGAAAGAAAGAAAGAAAGAAAGAAAGAAAGAAAGAACCTGCCAAACGACTTCCATAGTACTGTGCCATTTTTTAGCATCTTAAACACCTAGAGCTGTTGGCCACACCTGGTTCTCCATCTCCCCAGCCTCTCATGCCCATGTCAGCAGGCAGCCTCCGCATCTTATGGTCCCTCAGACAGCCTAAATCCAGCTCCAGCCCCAGCCCTAGTCAGCCTTCCTCCAAGTCTGATGGCCCAGCCATACTAGTCTTCCACCTGCTCCTCAAACTTCCCAACCTCTGCCAGAGCTGCCCTGTCTGGCACGTTTAGCTCCCAGACACCTGCGATGACAGCTTACAGTTGGGTGGCCCCTCTGTGTTCAGGACATCTTACAAGCAACTTCACTATTTCTTCCTCATTTCTTCACATAGTAACTGTGTGGTTAACAGCATCATTTCATAGAGGAGAAGACTGAAGAATAGAGAATCTGGTTCACTGCACTGGAGCAAGAGCTGGGGAGGGTAGAGTCAGGCTCATACACAGTCTTTAGGCGCTTGGATGCACTCTGGTAGCTCTACGGCTGGTATGACCACTAGGGTCTCTCAGCATTTGTGGTTTCATCACTTCTGGGCAGCATGTGAGAAAAATGCCCCTAAATGACATGAAAGGACAGCCCTGCCCTCCTGTCTCTGCCTCCATGTAGCAGTTGGGGTTGAAGAGCACCTAGACTTTCCCAGTGCTCCATGGGGTCACCTGGCCAGGCAGGCAGAGGAGGTCACTTTTCCTCTGCCTCCTGGCATATGCCTCCATGGCCTAGGAGATTGTGGCAGGAGGACTGACTAGTGAGAGCCCAGCCGTGGCATGCACGTAGTGAGAGCCCAGCCGTGGCTTTGCCATTTAGTGGACCCTGCCTCAAAATAAAAGGGCTGGGGATGCAGCTCAGTCCAGAGGCCCTAGTTTCAATCCTCCATACCAACAAAGAGAAAAGAAAGAGAGAAAGAAAGAGGGAGAGGAAGGGAGAGAGGGAGGGAAAGGGAAGGAAGAAAGGAAGGAGAGAAAGAGGGGGCCTGTGTTCTCAGGGCCTGCCCAGAGACAACACCCAGCATCAACCTCGGTGCCTCCCAGTCCTCATGACTCAAATCTGTGAGTCGGTGAGGCTGGATTCCCCTCCTCACTGGACCCTGCCCACCCCACCTGCACCTGTGGGAAAACAGATTCTGAGCTGGACTTGCATCATCCCTGAGGGGGCAGGACACGCAGGCAAACAGGCCATCACCCGAGGATGAGCTAGAACTTCTTTCATGGTCATGCAGAATCATCTAAATGTGCAGAGTGAGGCCCTGTCCTAGGGCCGAAAGGGGAAGGCACTCCATTCCTGGAAGCAGTTTGGGCAAAAGGGGCTCTCTCCCAAAGGCCTTGACCATGGAGAGCACAGAGGCTGAGCCCTTGCATGCAAAGCCTAATTCAGCAAAAGTGTGCCATGGGCTTTTATTTGCTCTGCTCTCCTCCACTGCCAGCCATGCCCTGGCTTCACGGGGCCATCTGAGCAGAGGTGACACCAGATGCCCCCTGCCAGCTCCAGGCTGCAGGAGGATGACCTGAGGTCCCATTGCCTTCTTTTCTTACAGTGGGATCAGGACTGACCTTCTTGGGGCTGGCGTCCCTCATCTCAAGGAGCCCTGGGAGGACCTGCTGTTTGGGGCACATCCACGCATCTGGCAGAGGCAGGGAGCACAGGGCAGCTACAGGGGGCAGGGCCTACAAGGGGGCTGGGCTCTGATCTTCCCACTCCCACCCTGGAAATGGGCCCCCAGAAGCCCCATAGTCAGCACACAGGGCTTGGGAAGCAGTGGGTACCTAGCACGCGCTGTAGCCAGGCAGGAGATGGTCAGACACATATCTCAACACAGTGGCACTCAAAGAGATCAAAATGCATTTAATGTGGTCTAGTCTCATTGCCTACATCTTTAGATACCGCTATGTATTGAAAATAACATGAAAATTCTCCCGTTTTACCATTTAAAATAGATTTGACATTCTATGACCTCACACAGGGCAGACACCCCACACAGGGGCCTCCCGAAGGTGGCTACTTCCGCCCCACCCCCAGGCCCCTTGGGTGGGCAGGGACTGGGCGGCACAGCACCAGCAGAGGTTGGGGGGCAGCTGCCCATGCTCTGAGCAACACAGACACCACCCCACTGACACGTGCACACCCCCCAGACCATACATGCACACACACACGCGCACACACACACGTCCACACAGACAGACATCCCATGGCATCCAACAAGATCCAGGTGCAGATGCCGCCTTCAGTGACTCACACTAGCACTGACTGGATGATCAGGGTAGAGGACCGGGAGCTCTCAGGCTAGGCACTGCCGAAATCTGAGGTCAGTGCCCAATCTGGCCAGTGTGCACCCAGCCCTGGCCTGGTCAGTGTTTCCTTCCTTCTGGAAGGAAAGAGCAAACACACACACACACACACACACACACACCAGTGGGTAGACACACAACTGGACATATCACATATCCACATCATCCATTCAGTGTCACCTATGTGGGGAATCATGTGTGCACTTCTGCACACATACACACACATGCACACGCGTGTGCAACAGCCCTCCCCTCCCCACACTCGCCCCAGGGACCAAGTCTCCCTCACTCCTGCATGCACTCAAGGCTCCTCACAGCTGTCCTCACACATCAAGTGCACTAAAAGGGGAACTATTTTGGTCTGTAGCATAAGCAATAAATAAATAAATAAATAAATAAATACAGGGAAAGGAAAAAAAGAGGACAGAAGAATTTGAAAACGCAGCATGTGCCTGCCTTTGGCGAGAGCTGAAAAGCAGCTCAAGCTGCCTTCCCTTGAGCTCTTGGGCTGGATCATTCTGGTGGATGTGGGCATGGGAGTACAGGCCTGAGAGGCAAACGCACCAGGCCACTGATGTGGCAAGGATCTAGGGCCCTGGGTCTGCTCAAGAAGCAGAAAATAGAAGGCTTGCCCGTGCAGGCCTGGAGGGACAGAGGCACAGGCCACCAGCAGGTGCCCACCTGGCAGTCTGGACTGGATGGTGAGCACTAAGCACTGCCATGCTAATTCCATCCCCAGAACACCAAGAATAAGGCTGGGAAAGCCAGTCAGACTTTAGAGCCAGGGGCCAGACCCAGGATCCCAGGGGGAGCTGAGGTCCTGCTGGCAGATCCTGAGCGAAGAGAGCTGCCGAGGGCTAAATCTTCTGGAACAAAAATTCAGGCAGGGTCTGCTACTAGGGCAGATTGCCTGGAGTCTGGCCTAGCTCAGGATGAGAGGCTGAGCTATCTCTGGGCTCTATCCCAGGTACCTTTCAGAGAAATGACAGCTATGTCTGAACTGCCCATGGGCCCTGATCCTCAGGGAGGACAATCTAAGAGGCAGGAGCCCCACCCCAGCCCCAGACTCTCCTTAACTCCCTGCTCACTCACTGTGTAGCCTTGTACATCCCCTTTCCCCCTCTCAGCCTCAGTTTCCCCACTTGGGCTGTAGAGTCCCTAGTGCCTTCTTGTCCCTGAGCTTGGGGGCATGGGTCAAAGCAGCCTGGGAAAGCAGGCAAGAGTCATAGGCTTTCCCATTACTGCCTTTCTGAGGCGCTGGCCAGGGAAGACAGGTTTCCTCAGCAGCCCCAGGAAAGGCTGGGCTCCTCTTCAGCCTGGCCCCACAAGCCAGAAGAACAAGGCAGGGCCAAAGAGGTCACAAGGGACCTCATACCTCTTGTCAATCAGGGTCCCTGGAGTGAGGCCTGTCCCTAGGCAAGTGGACTGAGGTATCTCTAGGCCGTCACACTGCACCTTGCAGGGAAGTGATTGCACAACCTGAACTCTCTGTGGCTCCTGTCCTCAAGGAAAACACAGAGGAAAGAGGAAGGAACCACATCCTGGGACCCTGAAGCCTGAGCAGGAATTCTGTTCTATGGCCATTTTTTCAATTCATCTTTGAATGAATGTGACCTCAAGAAATGGAGGGAGTGACAATTCCTCTACTTCCCTAAATTCTTTTCACTGCCCCAAAATGGCTGGGACCCTCCTGGGCTAGGCTGCACTGCCTGAGGTATGTAGGGGAGGGGTGAGGCGGGGGTATGGCCATGTGCCAGGAGCTCGGTCCCTGCCACCTTCCTAGGGCAGACAGAGTAGGTAGGGAAGGGAGACAGGCAGGTCCAATGAAAACAGAAACAACTCAAGTCAGACAACCTGAAGTCTCTTAAGGCACAACTCTCCCTGCGGGCCCAGTGGGAAGGCTGTTCCACTTCCACTGGGTGAGGGAACCTGGCCTCCCTTCCCCTTCCTAACATGCCTCCCATGTTTCCCAGCTGCGCTTCATCTGAAGGGGTGTGGACCCTGGCAGAAGTGGAGAGAGAGGCAAAACATGGACATGGAGACAGGGAGACCCTGAAGGGCAGGTGCCACCCAGCCCTGAGACCACCTCTGAGGTACATCAAACTCAAAAAGAGCAAACTAGTTTCTTCCCCAACCCCATCCCAATAGCATCTGAAAGCTTTTATTATGATCATTAACAAGGTCTTGGTTCTTCTGTCACAAACAGAACCTAATTCATCCCTAAACACGATGAACTGTGGGGACTGAAGCACACATGGGGGAGAGGTCAGTCCAGCCTCAGGGAACCTTCTGGAACATCCATCCATCTAGCAGCTTGCACTGCAACAGACCAATGGGATTCTTACTGTCCTTCCCCCACAGCCCTATGAATTAAAAATTTTTTTTCAATTGCATGTTCTTATTTTTTTGTAAACAGTCTTACCCAAGCTAAGGTTGAGAAAGCTGAAATCTGGTGTTTCTCCCCAAGTTAAAAATCGAGGTGTCTGCAACCTGCTAGCCATAGCCACAGAGGTGGCCCCTGCAGGGTGACTGTGCAGGCTGCAGCTCTTTCTCCAGGCAGAAGCCACTGGCTTCTATGGCTGGATCCCTAGGAAGCCACTTCCCTGACATTGTGCCACCTTGGCTTCTGAGACCATGGGCTGCCCACTCTGGCCACCCGCTCTCCTGCCAACTTTCCAAGGCTATTGCGAAGAAACATAAAACGACTAAAATGCTACTGAGTCTGCAACCCGGGCCACCTGCCCATTCTGCTTAAGCCCAGTGCCCCTGCAGGACATGGGGCCACTCCCTGGTGTCACCCTGCACTTGGCCACCAGCGGCTCAGATCTCTGACTCTCGTCTGTAGGGCCGCTGTTCAAGTGCACCGCCACCAGCCTGCAGCCTGTCAAAGTCATGCCGTGGCTGGGGATTGAGACCATCCCGACTACAGCCATCCTGGTCTCCTTCCCCCTCGTCCTCCTCATCGCGGCTCAGGAAGGCCAGCTCATTCTCATAGCAGAAGGAGTTGGCACTGGGCAGGAGGAACTTGTTCTCCACCAGGTCCTTGGCGCTGCAGCGGGGTGTGGAGGGCACCTCATAGGTCTTGTGGAAGTGTGAGTAATCAATCTTGTACTGATTCTTCTCTTCAAAGAGCACTGGCTCAAAACGGTGGCCCCATAGGATTTCATTGGCCAGATAGGAGCTGCGGGCCTGTGTGGTCATGGCCGTGGCCTCCACCATGCCCTCGAGGATCACCACGATCTCAAAGTCGTCCGTCTCCAAGTCCTGACGGCTGATGCCAAATAGTGGGCTGGCCTCATCGATCTCGTGCAGGATGGTGATGGGCGACACCAGGAAGATGCGGTCCAGGCCCTTGTCGAAGCCCACATCAATGTCTATCTGGTCCAGTGGGATGTACTCGCCTTCCTCCGTGACCCGGGGCTTGATGAGCTGGGCTCGGACGTGGGCCTCCACGATGTGGCTCTTGCGCAGGTTACCCACACGCCACATGAGACAGAGCTTGCCGTCGCGCAGCGCCACCACAGCATTGTGGCTGAACAGCAGTGTCTGCGCCCGCTTCTTGGGCCGCGCCATCTTGGCCATGATGGCGCCAATCATGAAGGAGTCAATGATGCAGCCCACGATGGACTGAGCGACCACCATGAAGACAGCCACAGGGCACTCCTCAGTCACGCAGCGCAGCCCGTAGCCAATGGTGGTCTGCGTTTCGATGGAGAAGAGAAAGGCCGCCATGAAGCCGTGGACCTGCATCACGCAGGGGGTGCGGCCACGACTCTCAGCTGGCTCCAGGTCACCATGGGCCACAGCAATGACCCAGAAGATGATGCCAAACAGCAGCCAAGAGGCAAGGAAGGCCAGTGAAAAGATGAGTAGCATGTAGCGCCAGCGGATGTCCACGCAGGTGGTAAACATGTCAGCCAGGTAGCGCTGTGACTTCTCATCCATGTTGGCAAACTCGATATTGCACTGACCATTCTTCTTGACAAAGCGGTTGCGGCACCGGCGCCGAGTGTGCACCTTGCCATTGCCGAAGCCATTGGCACCCGACATGGTTACCAAGTGCAGCCCGTCCTCCTCTGATGACACAATGCTGTAGGGGTTGGCCCGACTGGCTGCAGTCATCCCGGGGCCCGGGGGACCCTGCCCTGGCCCCAGGCTGGCTCCAGGCAAGGAGGCTCCTGCAACAGAGAGAACAGGGTCTGCTAGGCAGAGCAGATGGTCCCTCCTCTATCCCCACCAGTGCCCATGGCCATGACCAGCAGGTCTTGGAACCCCTGTTCAGATGTCTTTCCTCTATCCCATGCCTTCTCATTTTGGAAAATGGCCTCCTAACAGCTCAAGTCAGAAACTCAATTCACCCCAGATCCTCTGATTTCCACACCTAGTGCTCTGTTTTCAAAATATACTTAGAATAAAACCCTCTCTCCCACCCTCATGGCCTGACTCCCCATTGCTATCCACCTGGACCAGGGGCCACCTTGCCAACCTCCCTGCATGCACACCAGCCCCTCAATCCCTGCAGTAGTCATAGGCTGAATCAGATCCTGTCCCTTCTCTGTTCAAAGCCAGAGGCCCTCTGGGACCTGCAGGACCTACATACACAAGACCCATGACCCCCCAGAACCACCTTGAGCCTCCTTGCTCTCCCTGCTGGATACCCTTTTACCTCATATCCTCCTGCCACCCTCAGACTGGCTCCAATGTGCTATCCCCAGAGGCCTCTCTGTGCCTGAGGGCTGCCCGTCCCATCCTACAGTCATCTTATGGCACTGAACCGCCACTGGAATAACAACAGGGACAGCTATGATACATGTGGGTTGCCTGGCCTGGGACCCCATGGTGACAGCCAGTCCTAAGAGCAGGCCTTTCTTCCTCTGTTCACTGTTATTGTCTTACCCCCACGGCAGAACAAAGCCTGCCAACCTGGTCCCCCATCACTGCAGACATACCAAGTGGGGTCCTACCCACACTCTACACTCCTGACATCCACACAGCTCACCTACTGTGCCTCCCTATGCACAACAGTCCATGCCTGTGACCTCCTTGTCACTAGAGATGGTGAGGGGTGGCTCTAGAGACCCAATCAAAGGTCACTTAGGGTTTCCTCAACATCACCCAGGGGTCTCTCCGATCCCTCCTTCTTTCATCTCTAAAAGAGAACCACAGAGTCACCGCCCCAGCACATGGGAGCTTGCAGAGTATCACCTGATCCCATAATTACCCTTGGCCTGCTGGAGTATGGGGTAACGTGGGTCAACACACTCATGCATACAATCCCCTCAGTGTACCACAGCCAACAGAACAAATGCTGCTCTCAGGCTTGGAACACCCAGTTGGGTCCCTTCCCCCACTGCCCTACAAGCTCCACTTGGGCCATTGGTGCCAGGCTCAGCTACGGGTCATGGGACTGCCTGGTCCTGTACCATCAGTACCTCAGCCTACCTGGGCTGGGCTAGGCTGGACTCCAGGGCACAGCAAGAGCTCCTTGGTAGGGACAGAACACTGAGGAGTTGGGCACATGCCTCCCTCCTGAGGACCCCAATTCCAATACCTCATACCACAAGGTCAGAGCCAAGAGTCTCAGGGTCCTGATCACCTGCCACCATATTACCAGAAAGATACTGCAGCCCTCAAGGAGAATTTCCCAGAGCTACTGAAAATCCCTTAGGCCCTCTAGGGAGAAGGAGAGACCTGCAATAAGGTCACCCCATATTGTAGACTCAGCAACTGGAAGAGATTTGCCTGAGGCCCCGGGCAGGAGGTGGCAAGATCCAGATTCAGCTCCATCTATACTGCTACATTCCTGGCCAAGTCCACGGAAGCCAGGGTCTTAGAGAGGACGTGGTCTCTGACCTCTGCTCCTAACTCCAGATGAGAGTGAGATCACATGACTGGCCAGACAAGAGGGCCCTTCGTTGTGCTGTGAATCCACAGCCTGGAAGATACACGTGCTTCCCGCTATAGAGGCCTGGGAGCCACAGGAAGAGCCAGGCATAGCCACCGCCCTCAGGTCAACCTCTAGCAACCCACAACTATCATCACTTCTACTCTTTGAATGAGGTTCAGAGAAGTTAGAGGCCCTCCTCTGCCACCAAGCCACACAGCCAAAAACAGCAGGAGATCCAAACCACCTACATCCAATGCAAAGTTTCCTTCCAGGGAGCTCCCCAGGGACACCTGTCCCTACTCTGCTGCAGTCCCCCCACAGATGCTCCAGCTGACCACCTCACCATGAGTCTGAGGAGCTGAGGCCCGATGCCGTAAAGGTGGCTGCTGCTGCTGCTGCTGCTGCTGCCTGGGCCAGGAGGCAGACAGCTGGTAAGGCTGGGGAACCTGGGGACTGTGCTTGGAATGTAGCACAGCCCCAGACTGTGGAGGCCTCTGGGGGCAGGCAGCCAGGGTCGGCGCACTCAGGCACCGGCGGGAGGCTGCCACATCCCGGGCGGTGGGTTTGCGTGGCCTAGAGGGCTGGAGGGTCATCCAGCGGGTCATGGCTGCTCCAGCTTGTGCTCTCAGCAGCTCAAAGCCTGCAGAGAACAGAACCGTGAGAATCAAAGGCCAGACAGCCCAGCCGGTGGCCTGTTCCTACAGCCCGATGGCCTTGTCTCTGGCCAGCCACCAGTGGGGAGGGTGCTGCAATGGCTCCTGGCATCTCCACCAGGGCTGGGCATGTGGGACCCACCTAGACAGTGACAGACGGGCCTGGAACTCCTACTTCTGTTGACGTTCCTCCTAAAACCACACAGAGAAAATCAACAAGGTCAAGTTCACACCTGTTCCTCCATTTTCCAGAGCTGAACACACCCAGAAACTGAGTACCAGAGACAGAGACACGGTTGCAACCAGAGCATCAGTCCTTGGCCCCTTACAGCCCCCCTCTATTGCGTAGGCATGTGTGCACGTGTGTGTGTGTGTGTGTGTAAGTGTGCGTGCATGCACGTGTGACAGACAGATCACAAGTATGGGAAGTCCCCTCACTGGGCACCAGTTAAATGAACACAGCCACAAAGAAGACCCAAAAGCGACTCATGAGCAGAAACCCAGCACCACAAGCCAAGCTTGCCCAAGGTTCCAGGGACACTCCCACACAACACAAGCATGGCAACAAGGTTACACAACGGTGCGGTCTTCAAGAGCTCACTTTAAGAAATGTAGGTCAGTCCCCTCTGCCAGAGATGTGCAGGTTTCTGGCTCTTGGCTCGATAGGATGCAAATGGTGAAATCAGATAAGAAAGGGAATCAGAAGACTTGTTTTGATGCAAGAAGTCTTCAGCAAGCAAGGAGGCCAGCTCTGCATTTTATAGATGTGAAAGCCAAAGCCAAGAGAAAGAGGGACTTGTCCCAGATTAAGACAGGTTAAGACCCCTCTGGGAAGGCCTAGGTGGCCAGTGGGGCACACAGGCCTCACCAGAAGAGGAAAGAGAGGGATGCCAGGCACTACCTGAGCTGGACAAAGCAGTTCCACACTGGGGAGACCCAAAACCCGTCAGAAGGCAGAGCTCAGGGCTGAAGGGTCAGACCCAACCAGCAGTGAAGTCACCCTCATGCTGCAGCCTTGTCACCTGCTTCTTGCTAGTCACAGTGCCGCAAACACAGTCTCCTATCGTCCGGCGTGCTGGGAATATTAGCTGGGATTTGGGCTGGAGCTTATAGAGAGGACACCACACCGCAGCTGCCACCCGACCCAAGGGTGGGGCCTGAGAGTCACCGGGAGGGGCCTCCGGATGTAGCAGGACACCCCATGCCCAGTCCCTGAGGCTCTGGGCAACTCAGGTTTCTGTAACATCCGGGAGGAGCCAAGACAGGGCCTGGGTCCACATTCCCAGGGCCAGGGAAGCACTGATAGGAGGAACAGGCTTGGGGCTTCTCAGAGCTCTGATCAGCAGACCCTCCATCAGAGTACCTGGCTGCCTGGACCTGCCATGCTATGAGCACAGTGGCCAAAACGTACAGCCCACTTACCCGCTCCCAGGTGCTCTTGTAAAAGTTCGAATAAACTCACTCACTTAATCGCTATAATAACATTGTGACTAAGTATTATCTCTATTTCCTAGTGAGGAAACTGAAACTCACAGAGGTCACCTTGGAAGAGCAGCGTTTCCAATCTAGGGGTGGGGATGAAACACCATCCCAGCACCGCAGTCCCTGGTGTGGCACTGTATTCATCTCAGTCCTGTAGACCCTGCACTTCCATCTGGGGACAAGACATACAAACAGCTCCAGGTTCATACCCATAACCAGAACCCTCATCAGCTTTAGGGACCCCCATCAGCCGTGACTCATGGCTACCTGCCCTGGTTCGGAACTTCCAGAGGTAGGACACTTATTACCTCATGAAGATTCCTTAAAAATACTTCATGCAGCAAAGGGCAGTGGGTAGCCTACATGCACTAGCACCCCCTCCCCTGGAACCACAGTGGAGGCAGAGCAGCGATGTGGGACAGTGAGGAAGGGTATTCCTGGTGTGGGCATGTCCAGATCCAGGAAGTAGAGGGCCAGCAAGGGGACTGAGGCTGTCCAGTGAGAGCCTAGCATGGCGTGGAGGGGAATGAAGAGCTGGTAGGGAGCTGATACTTCCAGGGGAAGATGATCTCTCATGCCTAACCACCAGTCCAGGAGTGACTTGCTGACAGAGGCTCTGGCAGCCTTGGCCCTGTGCTTACCCAGAGCCTGCAGACAGTGAATGTATAGTGAGTTACAGGCCTTCTGTGTTCAAGCCCATGAGACCCAGGACAGGAGGTCACCATAAGACAGAATGTACTATGGCAAGGGGGTGGACAGGATGGTTCTTCTATCCCTGAGCCCTCACCACCTCAGGACCACTTTCCCAACTCCATCATCTTCTTACCTGAATATCCCCTCTGGCCCCTGGAGTGCATTCTACATGGGCACAGGGCAGCTGAGGCCACCAGGAGCAGAAGCAATGCTCCAAATTTCTGACCATGGATTGCAGGCCTCTGCCTCTCTTCCTAGTTGGATGGAATCCCAGTTGGTTGCCCCTGCAGTAACTGCTGAAAGTCAATAACACTCCTCTGATTGGCTCCTTATCTTCCTTGTCTCACTCTCTCACTGCCTTCTGGAACACCCAGAGTTTACTTCCCACTAAACTGCTTGCACTAGGACCTTTGTCTTCTGGGGCCTTCAGAGGCTTCTACCCCTCAAAGCTCCAAACCAGGCTCCCCTCCTAGCACCCACAGCACCACAGAGCCAATATGGTACCTCCTCTAAGCCCTTTTCCTCCTCTTTATTCATCATGAATTCTTTCTGAAATTCTCTAGTCCTAGGATTCTTCTGCTAGGGCCAAAAGCCACTTTCCACTTTGCACTCTTGCATAAGAGTGATCTGCCTGGTCCCATTTCTGATAGACCTCAGAAGCCAGAGAGGCCGGTACAGGCCCGGCATAGAGGAGGCCCAGGAAATGCTCCTAGCCCAAAGGAAAAGGACAAGGCATGAGCAGTGAATAGGGGAATGGATGAGGAGGTGAGAGAATCATGAATGAGGAGACATATGCACACAGGTGGGTGGTCAAGCAGATGGACAGATAAATCAGGCTGATAGGTAGGTGGGTAGATAGATAGGGCTGACCAAACAGATACATGGGTTAGGTGGGCGGAGAGGTGGGTGGGCCGGTGGTTGAGCAGATGAATGTGTTGGGGAAATGAGTAATGAATGGATGGGGTGGGTGGGTACATGGATTGTGAGTGGATGAATAGGTAGGGAGGTCAGTGGGTGGATGAATAGATGGGCGGGTGGGCAGGCAGGTGAAAGGGTGGGTGGATGAATGGGTAGGTGGATGATGGGTAGATGGATAGCAGATGGAACTACTGGATGGATGGATGAAAGGTGAGTGAGGGGTCAGATAGGTAGTTGGTTGGGCAGAAGAAGAGATGAATAAATGGGTGGGTGGAGGCACCAACAGTGTCTGAAAGATGGACCCTGAGCAGCACAGGTGCAATCAGGAACTGGAATCTTACCTCTTGAATCCTATCTTCTAAGTTATGGTGCTCAGTGGGCAAGCAACCATTTTCAGGGCTGAATTAGCTGCAGCTGCCATTTTTCAGGTCCCCGCAGAGAAGGATCCAGTCACCTGTAGATCCTAAAGGACAGAGCAAAGCCAAGTTACTGCACACACTTCTGCTCTCCTCAGGGGGCTCCGAGCTTTCTACATGAGCTCACAGTGCTGCTCACTTCCTCCAAAGTCCCATGGGAGGAGAGGTGGCCTCCAGCCTCCAGCTCCGATGTCACCACACTTTCACATTACTCAAGTCCTGTCCAAGGCAATGATCTAGAAGCAGACCAGGGAACAATAAGATGGGTCCTCAGAGAAAATATCGTAGTGTTTTATCATCTCCTGCAATCCCCAGAAGCCCACAAGGTTGGAACTATTGCTATTCCCTTCCAGTGAAGCAGGTAATGGGATTCTCCTAGACTAGTGGTAGCGAACCTTTTAGAGCTTTCAGATATAACGAACAGCCTGCTGCAGCACATGTGCCATAGGTTTGCATCACATCACTGTCCTGGAGTCAGTCGCAAGAGAACTCTAGACCCAGACTGTCTGTGCTCAGAGCTACTACCTGCCAAGCTTTCCCAATGCCACCCCTGGGTCAGGTGGTTGGATAAGTGTGTGTGGACAGATGGGGAGCTGGAGAACAGAGAGGTGGGGGAATGGGTGAGGGATGAATGGATGAATAGATAGATGGACAGATGGACAGACAGGAGGGTGGATGTGTGGGTGAATGGATAGATGGGAATATAGATAGATGGACAGATTGGTGGATGAAAGATGGATAGAAAATGGATGGATGGATGGATGGATGGATGGGTGATAGATGGATGGATGGACAAATGGATGAATGTTTAGATGGATGAATGAGTGGATGAATTTGTGGATAAATGGGTGGATGGATGGATAAGTGGATGGGTGGAGAGGGCATTTGGGAAGATGGGATAGATGAATAAGCAGAGGAATGAATGGGTAAACTGATTATTATACAGGTGGGTAGACCATAGTAACTTCCAGGGACTTGCATGGCCACATACACACTCATATTGGGTCTGCAGTCCCCCAACATCAACTTCCTGTCAAAAGGCCCCTGCCTTTCCTGCTGTGAGGCTCATGGGAGAGAATGGTGGGAAGAGGCTCTGAATTTCCAGAGGTCAGCCATCCGAGACGGTCCCCACCTCCCAGGTACTGGGTCCATGGGGCCCTGCCCTTTCCAAGGGCACAGGGAGTCTAGTTTGTTACACCATCACACTGGCTTTTCTGGTTGGGATTAAGGGAATGGTTAGTGAGTCACCTCTGCATCATAAACATCTGGAGCAGGTTATAGTGCTAGATTTAGAGGCACACAGACATGGGTTCAAACCCTAGTTCTGCCCCTCACAAGGTCTATGACTTCAGGTGAGTCACTTCCCCTCAGTAAGCCTCTCCATTCTCAGTCTCTGCTTTCCAATCCCCCATCAGTCCTTGAGTATCTGTCATGCCCACTGTTTGTCTCTCAGCTCTTCCATTCTCAGAACTGGTGAGAAAGCTAAGTCCTGGGAAAGCTACCTCACAGACCGATGTCACACACCTGATGATCGAAATGAAGGTTGAAAGAGGTTGGTCACCTAGAGTTGGCAAGGAAGAGCCAAAGAAGTCTCAGAAGAAAAAGCACGGGTGGGAAGAGTTCTCTCCCTACTTCCCATTGGGCCATTGGTCTGTCATATATGCTCTCAACCTCATTCCTGGCTTCTGATCTTGCTGGCAGACTTCCCCCAACCTACAAATCTAGCCCTATTTGTCCTCACCTATGCTTACCTTTATTCAACAGAGACTTGGAGCAGAAAAGTGACTTGGCCAACGTCACAGAGTTGGTGAGTGCTGGCATGGAGATAAGAACCTAGGTCTGTAGGCGCCACGTCCAGGCTCCTCTTCCCAGATGTACAGTGTGAGCCAATCCTAGCTCACCAAACACTTTCCTGGGTTGTGGTCACCATCCTAGGTCAGGGAGGCTGGCTGTGTCCAGTGCTTCCACTGGACAGAGATCAGGCAAGCCTGATTAGCCCACAGTAAGGGCAGAGCTGAACTCTCACAGTGCCAAACCATGCCAACAAGGCCAAGGTTGAAACTACCCCAGGAGACAGGGCAGGGCACTTCCCCTTCCTGAGGCTCAGCTTCCTCCTCCAGAAAATGGGGGTGACAATGACAGCTTCTCTGGCCTCCCAGCGGATGTGCCTAGGAAACTGAAGGAGATGATAGGTGGTATGGCCAGGCACAGGGCCAGGGACAGGCCCTGGCACCAGCAGGGCTCTGGATGCAGCATCAACAGCCAGCCCTCTAGGGGACCTGTCTACCCTGGCTCACGGTGGTCCATCCTTAGACTCTGGACCCCATGGGACAACATGAGGGACCCCATATGCCTCAGGGCTTTTAAGGGGGCAAACCAAGCACATAGCAGATACACACTAAGTGTAGGCCCTCCTATTGCCATTGTGGGACTTGACACCCTCTCAGGCACCTAGAGCAGAAGTGCAAGTCCACCAGTGAAGAGCTAGTGTGCACCTAACCACCCTCAGAAGATACCCCTGGGCAGGCACCCGGCTCACCTTGGTGTCTAGGACATGCCCAGGTGATCCCTGCTTCCTGGAGCCTGATGGAGGGGTGGACAATTGACCTCAGTGTCAGGCCACACCACACAGCCAGGAGGGGTAGCTAGCCACCCTCTGAGCCCTGAGGTGAGGGCAGGGCAAGAGGCTCTGACTCCACCAGTTTGGAAGACAGTTACACCAGACACCAGGGAATGCTCTGGTAGTATTTTTATCTTGAGAACATCCTTTACAGGGAGACAGAAAGGGGATAGGATGTCTTTGGCGCCAGGCCCATGGAAGCAGCAAGGAATGGAGGCCCCTGGTGCCATTAGGATGGCAATGCCCCATCCCTAGGCTTTGTGGTGACACAGGAGCAGGTGGCACTTGGGGGTTTATGGGGCTCCGGGTTCTGCTTCAACATGCTGTGGCCTGGTGCTCTGGCCCTCTCTGGGACGTCCTCTTGCAGTTTGTCTTTCTGGAGGGTTTTCTCAGTGTCAAATTGAGCACTGGGCACTATGGACTGGCAGAGAAACCAGAAGGCACCTGCCTTCATGGGGATGCCCTGCCTTGACAGGCAGACGGCAAGGAAGCCAGCAATCACAGCGCAACCACAACCACATCAAAGTCCTTGGGAACCTGGCAGGAGGTGGGTGAGAGGCGGCTAGGGAAGCTCCCAGGGGGTTTCAGTGAGCTCAGGAGGGGAACAAGGGAATGGAGAGGGCTCAGCCTGGTTTGGATCACAGCACCCGGGAGGAGCCAGAACACACACTTCCGATCACCCCAGGGTTTCATGAAGAAGGCCCTGGGAGCCCTGCAGACCTGAGAGCAGACCCCAGCTCTGTTCCTCACCACTGGGCCTGGAGAGGGTGCTCCCCGCCTCCGAATTTCACTGCTCTTGTGTGCACACCAGCGGGAGGGGAGCAGTGGCACACAGCACCCTTCCAACCAGGCACCCTCATGTATCAGGAGGTCTGGGGCTGGGGGTGAGTGAAGAGAAGCCAGGGTACTTGTCACCTAAGCACAGAGAAGGTGATCATGTACAAAGTGCCCAGCTGGAGACCAAGACGCTTCACTGGCCAAAGAGAGAAACTGAGGTCTGAGGAATCTCAGATGTTATCTTCCCCCCTCCAACCGGGTCAGATGTTATCCTAACAAGTTTGGGCTTGATCCTAGGAGCTATGGGTTCTCAAGGGCCACAGCAGAGTCTGGAAAAACAAGTGCTCTGGGGCATTATGCCCTGAATTCAAATTCTGTCTCTGTCCCCTCCTCTGTGGCCCTGGGGCAACTCACAGAACCTTCTTGTGTGTGTGTGTGTGTGTGTGTGTGTGTGTGTGTGTGTGTGTGTGGTGTGTGCATGTGTGTGTGTGTGTGGTGTGTGTGTGTGTCCAAAACATAAACTAAAAACTTTTTAATTATCTATTCAGTTAAGTTGTATAGAAAATACAAATGAGTTCTACATCATTGTTCCATATCAACATTTATAATTGCCTGTATATTTGCTTTTAATGAGATTTTTATTTCCTCATAAGACTGAAATTACTAAATAGTGTCCTTTAAAGAACCTTCTTGCATTCTGTTTTTCTCAACCGTAAGATACACCTAACAACAATTCTCATCACGAGGCTGAGTTAGCACACGGCTGTTGCCCAGTTGGGAACTTCCTGCCCACTATATCTTGAGGCTCCTACTTCACTCCAGAGGGAGCGCAGAGCCCACCAGGGCCTCGGCTGGACTTGTCAGGTGAGCAAATGCCCAGGGGAGGGACCTCTGTGGGCAGAGGCAATACAGCTTGTTTCTCCCACAGCTGTTTGTCCAGGCTCCAGCTGGATCCAAGTCTCGGGCATCTCCTGGGCATCTGGCAAGTACACAGGAGAGTGAGAACTTGAATGACAGAAACAGGAAGCAGCCTGGGACCCGAAGGCCCATCAAAGAAGACTGGGCAATGGCCAACATAAGAACATTTATGGCATTGCTTACCCAAACCCATCAAAAATAAAATGTTAATCATAGGTATCTGTTATAAAAAGGATTCTTGTGCCAGTGAGATAGCTCAGCGGACCAGGCACCTGCATAGGTAAATGCAGGGACCAGGGTTCGATCTCCAGCACCACATGCAGTGCCGGTTCCACTCACAGGCACACTGAGCTGGTGAGCGAGTCCGGACATGGTGGTGCACACCTGTAATCCCAGTGTTGGGGAGACTGAAAACAGGAGGATCACTATGAGTCTGAGCCGCATAGTGAGACCCTGTACTAAATACATAAATTAAACTAAATAAATAATAAATAAGGATTCATGTATTCATATATTCAATAGATAAAGAGTTCTTATAAATCAACAAGAAGGCAGGATGCAGGAAGAATGAGCAGAAGGCTAAGGCTGGGCTCCCCACTGAGGGTCACATGACCCTCAACAGCTCAACGATACCCACCCGAGTGTGAGCTGGCCCCTCACCGTGGCTTGGGGGGGATGCCTTGCTCTGCCTTTCAGGACTCAGTGCACGCTCTAAGCTCAAAGGACACCTCC